CTGGGAGGCCTCAAAGTAGCGGAGCTTCAGCTTTCAGGGGTAGGGGAACGCGCACCGTGCAAGCCCCTGTCAGCTGGTTTGCGGCGCCGAGGGAAGCGCTGTGGTGTTTCTGTGTGCCCTGGTCTCAGCAGTGCAGCCAGCTCTTGCAATGGTTTAGGCCTTCCCAAGTCTTCATTCAAGTCAGCTTTGCAGGCACCGGTGACAGCTTATCTTTATGCTTTCACAGATGTGGTTTGGCTATTTGAGGATGAATAGAGAGAAGTTATTTTGAGGGAGAAACGATGAAAGAAATCCTGTTTAGCTGCAGTCTCAGTTGCTATCAGCTTGCCTTCTGAGCCTCTCTTGTGTCTTAAGCGTTGCGAGCGCTCGGAATCCGCTCCTGCCCAAGTACCTCTCTGAAAGGTATCAGGAGTTTCACACCTGTCTGGAAGAGTGGATGTTCCCACAGTGGTTACTGTCAGCATCTGATTGCTGAATATGCTCTTCCACGTGTAGCAGGAGGAGGGTTTGAAGAGGTCATCGTTTCCCTTTCCAAGACAAATGTGACAAGTTGCGTCCCTGCTGCAGTGAAAGGGTTTCTAATCTGCTCGTCCCTGTATGCCGTCGGTAACGGATTCACCAGTCATCTCAGCTCACTTGGAGAACCCAGGTGTTCCTGAATACCAAGTTTTGTTTAAAATGTTGGCCGTGGTGAGGAATCTGAGCACGAAGAGGTTATAGACCTCTAGCTTGCAGGCACTCACGAGAGCATTTGGAAAAAAATAGAAACAAGACAGCTTTTGTTTCGTGTCATCCCGTGGGTTGCCCAGTGTGGGAATGCCCCTGGGGCCTTCAGTTGAGCTGCTTCATCAGGCAAAAGCTCCTGATAAGCAGACTGCTGAGGCGAGATAAGGGGGTCATCGGCGTGGTCACGCAGCGTGAACAGGGGATCTGACAGAGGGCCTGGTGCTTGAGGCACCGTTCAGACCTGGTGCCAGCGCTGGTGTACGAGTGCATTGGTACGGCATGGTGACCCATTTCCCGTGGAGGCTCTGCCGTGTCCTGTCTTAACTACAGCCTCTGCAGCCTTCTGTGGTCACGTTGGATGTGTTTTGGGCGTATGTAACTTGGGCTGTAGTGTGTCCACGATGTGTGTTCAGGGGTTTGTGTGTTCCCAACTTTGCATTATCAGTGAAGCTTTCATCCTGCTGCGTGAACCTGCCCAGCCTTTTTCTGTGGATGTGTTCAATAGCCACAAGCCTTGGTTTGTGTTCGTGAGAACTAACAAATCCTGAGAATAGGAGTAATCTTCGCTCGGTGGTCCACTTAAAATCTACTGGAGTCGGGCTGGTTTACTGAGAAAGTGGCATCCGTGATTTGATCGAGCTGAACTTGAAGTAAATGGCTCTTTGAACTTGAGGAAGCCAGTGGTTCGTTTTCATTCGCCTCCTGGTTGTACACTGCGTTTTGGAGGTGAGTGTGTCTGGTGATTTGGGTTATCAGAGAATGTGCCTGATGCCACTTTTGGGATACCTGTGGGCAAAACTTCCGTAGTGTTGGTGATTCCCTTTCCCTGCAACGTGAGGGAAGTGGGCTATGGGGAGGTTGCAGGTACTTTGCTGGCACTGCATTCTTTGTGCTGAGGCATGTTAATGTATGTTGGAGAAGTTCCACTGATTCTCCTTGAGATACTGTGTCTTTGGTCTCCAGATGTTGCTGGCATCTGGTTTGTTTTCATTGGCAAATACCTTGGAGCAGGTGTTACTTTGGGAAGCCTTATAACACGGATACTCATTTTATAAGCAAGCCCCTCTCCATTTATTGCTGGGTGTATTTCATGACAGTCCGTATTTTCCTTCTTCTCTTACTCCTTTTGTTTTCCTTTCTCCTTTTAAACATCCCCTTTGCTCCCACTGCTGCTGGACGGCAGGTCCCCTTTCGTTCTCTGTGTCCTCAGGAGCATGCTGCCGTGCTCAGCTGTGGCTGGTGAGAATCCCTGGCAGGTTGCACGTAAGCAGACACAAAAGAGATGTGAATGATGCTCTTTTTTTCTTCTCTGCCTTAGGAGCTTGGAGCTCCTCAGTGAGGAAGGGTCGGTAGCCCCCAGATGCTGGCTCTAAGGCTTTCAGATTTCTTTTTTAAGCACTGCACTATAAAAACAAGTCAAGTCATTGTTTGCTTTAGCATATCTCTTCTCCCTGTCATGCAGGGGTGATGATGGATGGCAGTCAGGCCTTAGAGTGGTGATGTTTGTCACTTTATGAAATGATACTGAGTTTCTGTTCCTCTTCTCTCTGGTTTTGTCACTTTTCCTCGCTCTGCGTAGGTTGTGCTGCTTCTGCTTCAAATGGGCTGAACCTTCAGAGTTGAGCATGAAGTGTTGCAACCCTTGGGCAAAGTCCTACCAAATGCACCAGCTAAGGAACTTGGGAAGGCTGGGAGAGGAAATAGAATCATAGAATTTCTTGTTCAACTATTCTTTTTATCTTTCTGTGGTTTTCTTATTTCAAGAAAACAAAACCTGTTCCTGTTCTCTGTGTGAAAGACTTTTCTGCGTGTCTCGGCAAAACCGCTATCATACACTGAAAGATGTTCAGCTGCAGTGGAATGCAGTAAAAGCAGTGTTAAACACCCTGATAAAGTCAACACTTATTTACATCCTACGCGAGTTCCAGTGTCGTGTTCTTGGGAAATAAAGGGTCTAGTTGAGACATACTGTTTGTTCCTTCTGATGTCATTTTCTGCTGATTTTCATACTCGGCTTTAGGAACTAGGAAATGAACTTCTGACCTCTCTGTTTTGAACAAATGGACTTTTTTTTTTCCCCATCACCACCTTGGGGTCAACAGAGCAGAGGTACAAATGTCCGTCTTGTGTTCACGTTAACCCAAAGTCACACAAGCTGCCTGACACCTGGGGTTGAAGGTAAAACACCCATTATCAGATGCTTTCACCATCCAGAAGTAAGCACTGAGTGGCACATGCAGACGGTAGTACGGGAAGGTGGGTGGTGTCTGACGCTGCAGCTGAGGCAGGGGTGGCTTGCAGCAAGGGCTGGGGGAGGACAATCAAGTGGTTGGATGGAATAGGTGCCTGGGCTGGGGAAATAAGGGTGATGGAACTATTCCTGGCTGATACTTGGGCAAGGAGGGGAACAAGATAGCAAAGAGGAGGAAAAAACCCTAAAAAAAGAGGAATATACTACTTCTCTCTTTCTCTGTCAAACTATCTAGTGTGTGCTCTCCTTTCCACACCAGTGAGTCCGTTCTCATCACTGAAAATGTGATTGCCCTATAAATAAAACTTCTTATTTTAAAATGTAAGCACTGCATGAAGTTATTAATCTCCCGTAACTGCTCGTGGCAGCTCAGCATTAGAGAGCGCTCTTTCGGGGATTTTTTGCATACAAATTAATCTGTCAGGCTGTCACATTTAAGACCCTTGACAATTCACGTCTGACTGATACCACAAATTCTGAAGGCCTGGTCTCGGAGGTGAGTGAAATCCGGGTGACTTTTTTTTGTTTTGAGAGCAGCATTACGTTCATTTCAGTCCAGTTGTTGCCCAGCCCTGAGCTGTTTTGGTGAAGACCTGGAATAACTCATGACCAATGAAGCTCAAACCCAGGATTTATGGGCTGCTGAAGCCCTTGTCTGGGACACGGTCAGGAGATCGTGCAGGGGCGTCTAGGCAGCAGAACTCCAGGGTTGCCGTGGAGGGGAGGGCATCACGTGAAGTTCCAGGAGCAGTTAGTAAGTTTTGCCTGTAGCCACCAGTTGGAACAGCTCTCTGACCTGCTTGGCAGTTCCCTCAGAGTTCCTTGGCAGCACTGGCTTTTGTGCTGTGCATTTCTTTCTTTTTCCAAGTGTTTCCCACATGGATGTGCAGACTTTGTTTGGCTCTTTTCCAGCCCTTCCCTTACCTGCTGCAGCACGTATGTCGCTGTGTTCTGTCTGCTTCCTTAGCTTAGTGTTGACATCTTTAGTTGTGGTCCAAACAAGAGCTCATCCTTCTGTATAAGGTGGACTTCATGGAACTTTCTCCCTTTTGTTTCCATCTTGTTCTGTTTGGTTATGACCTGCCTGGGGAAAAGGGATTCCATTTGACATGCCACTGATTGCAGTATGGGTATGGTTCTTGCAGATAGCAGATTTAGTTTAAATTTACTGGGAATTTGCTGTCAGGATTGTGCAGAGCTTGTGATCTCATAGGGAAAATGTTGGGTGACACCTGGGAATTTCCTTTACTTTCTTGCTTTCTAAGCTCCAGGTTTGTTTAGGAGGAGATCATAGAACCATTGGAATAACCTTATGCAGACTGTGGCATTGACCCTGGGAATGGTATTTGTGGCTGCAGGATACAAGTAAGAAGAATACAAATACTCGACTCCACTGGCACCTTAATTGCGGTGTAGTTAAACACTCAGTGCAAGGGTTTGGTTGATGTGACTTCGTGGGGTTTTTCCCCTACAAATTTCTGCAGAAACAAATTTTGTCCTGCCTGAACTGTTGTGATTTGTAATACCAGTGTGAGTTCTCTTTGGCTCTGAAGAGATGTCCCAGGCAATGTGATATTTTGGGGTTATTTTGGTAATGTAGGAGAAAATAGGTGGGAAACATTGGTGGGTGGTTTGGCCTGGTTACCTCTCTGGATTAATGCTCTGCTTCTGAAGCTGTCGGGACAGTGCTACCCAGAGGGAGGAACCTACGGCAGGTACACGGAGTTTTTCCCTTTGTCGCTTCAACTTCCTCAGTAAGAGGGGTGTGCATTACTTATTTTTATTCCAAAAACGTGAAAATTTATGGTTTAGGTTTATTTCCCCCCCCACTCCCCTTCTTAAAACAACTTCTACCTTGTTTCTCTCGGGAAGAATAACACAACCAAGAGGCGTCTGTGGCCATGGCCTTCCTCTGCTGCCGCTTTTGGAGTCATTTAGCCTCATTCGGCCACGTTTGGCTGAGCATTTTAAATGTCAGTGGTGGCTGCATTTGCATGGGGTTTTTTAAAAGTTAATTAGGCAAAAGAGGAGGGCCTGCAGGGGAAAAAATCCCAAACGTTTGCCTTTTCCAGTGCTGGAAGGAAGCTGAGTTTGTCCTGTAGAAATGCCCAGTCCTCTTTGACCAGTAAACTGAACTGCTGCCTTGTGACAGACCGTTGTTCCACGGAGTTGCTGAGCAGCTTGTGAGGAGTGATGCTGATAGAGGAATAAAACCCATCATGTGGAAGGGCTGCTTGGAGTTACGTTCCTAAAGGGGCGCGTGGGAAAAGGATGAACCGAGGAGGTTGAGCGTCTGCGTGGAGCTAAATGAATGGCACTTAACGTATCAGCAGCAGGAGCAGCGAGGTGATGTGTGGTGCTGCTGAATGCAGGAGAGAGAATTTGACACACTGTACAGTACTAATTGCCAAGTGGATTTTATTTTCCGTTCTGTTACTGTTTTTGGTTTAGGTCCTGTTCAACATGATTGTAGAAGTGCCTCGTTGGACAAATGCAAAAATGGAGGTAATATATCATTCATGGAATGGTTTGGGCTGGAAGGGCCCTTAAAGCCCATCCAGTTCCAACCCCCCTGCCATGAGCAGGGACACCTTCCATAGCCCAGGTTGCTCCAAGCCTCATCCAGCCTGGCCTTGGACACTCCCAGGGATGGGGCATCCACAGCTTCTCTGGGAACCTGTCCCAGTGCTCCCACCCTCTGCGGGAAGACTTCCTTCCTGATGTCCCATCTCAATCTCCCTCTTTTCCTTTAAACCCGTTCCCCCTTGTCCTGTCACTACAGGCCCTTGGGCAAAAGTGGCCCCCAGCTTCCTTGTAGACCCCCAGGCACTGGAAGGGGCTCTAAGGTCTCCCCGGAGCTTCCCTTCTCCAGGCTGAACCCCCCCAACTCTCCCAGCTTGTCCCCATGGCAGAGGGGCTCCAGCCCTCGGAGCATCTCCGTGGCCTCCTCTGGACTTGCTCCAACAATTAATAAAATTACTCAATTATACAGGCATTTGTGAAACTTGGAGCAGCTTCCGAGGGAGTTTAATCAGTGGGGGTTACTCTTCACACACAACACTTCCTCTCTTGAAAAGCTGACTTGAAGTCACGCATATAGACACTTTCCTTGCGATGATGGGGCGTTGAGGGTCTAACTTTGTTTGCCTTCCGCAGGCACTGCTTCTTGGCAGTCCTCTGACTGCAGAGCGTGTCCGCAGCAGGCCTAGAGCCCTGGCTTGCGCAACGTCGGCCAATGTTTGGTTTGACTCTTGCTCGCTCAGTCAGCGTTCCACTCAGGGTTTGATTCCTCTCGTTCCCACTGAATAGTGTGCTGGGCTAAGTCCTGACACATGGAGTTGCAAATGAGAAAGCATTAGGGCCGTGTCATTATGCCTGCAAGCTGTGTGCCACCGAGCCAGCCCGTAACACGTGTGATGCCGTTCCGAGCAGCGTCTGCGTGCACGAGCCGAGCTATGCTGAGCTGGGCTGTGGCCCGGAGTGCCCGAAGGATGGAGACAGTGAATTAGCTGATGTGTGGGAGGTGACTCATATAGCAGTGGGCTTGTCTTTGAAGTTTTGGGGAGGATGATGGCAATAACAAACTGTTCCTCTTTAATTAGCTCATCCTTCTGAGAGTGCTTCCTTGGGAGTAAGAATGCCGCCTTCTAGCGCTAGCTGGACTTGTTCAGCCTCTGCCCGGAGTTGGCACTGGGTGCCCACGCAGAAGTTGTGCTTGCTGGCGGGCATCTGTGTGCTGCGAGGTGACGGAGAGGAGGGGTGTGTGCAACAGGAGGCCAGGAACGGGCTGGGGAGGTGAACCAGCGCCCCTGTTGTCAGAAGAACTTGCGCGCCATGTACGTGGCTGTGGTGCTGTAAAGTGCAAGAGCTTCCACCTCAGTTCCTCTCAGTATTTATGCTTGACCATGACAGTCTCCTTATAAATTTATGACTTCCCTTCTGGTGTCATTTTTCCCTTGCATACTTCACAATGTTATTTAAAACCTTAATAAGCTGCTTTTTGAACGTGACCCTGGAGATTTGGAGCGAGGCCATCGTACTTCTGATACTTCTCAAACCACGAGCACATGCTCCCAGATGGCTCTTTCTAACTGGTTGGGTACGGAATGAATTGCTTTCTGTTTTACCTTTCTCTCTGTGTCTCTCTCTCTTGTTGCGATCTGCTTAGATTGCCACTGAGGAGCCGTTGAATCCCATTAAACAGGATATAAAGAAAGGCAAGCTTCGATACGTGGCAAATATCTTTCCTCACAAGGGTTATATATGGAATTATGGTGCTCTCCCACAGGTAACATTTTTGTTATAATGGTGAAAGTTTTCTGTCTTCTGTGGAAATTGCCTTGTAAATCTTGGGTAGTGCCTGAATGCAAATCAGTTGCGAAAGGGATCTGTCTCTGATACACTTGTAAATTAGGATTTTTTTTATGTGCAGCTTTATTGTGTCCGTAAATCTTGATCAGAACTTGGGTGTGGCTGTAAATATGTGTGGTGTTTCACGAAGGAGTTAAATGATTAAGAGATCTCGAATCTTTAGGCTGCGTCTCTGTGCTGCAGTGACAGCATTAAACTGTTGTGGTCCATCATACAAGAACAGTTTGACAAGAAACCCTTTTCTGCTTAAACAAGGCTTTTTTTAAAAAGAAAAAAACTTTAATTGGGATTTTCATATATTGCAGCATAAACTTTAATTGGGATTTCGTAGTATCTTTAACAAAGAGGCACACAAGGGCTGTTCTTCTTCAGATTAAACCTCAACTGCCTTAGTTAACTTTTCTGTGAACTGAGATGCTTTACTCTATCAGGACATGTTCAGAACTTTGAGCCTTGAAAAAGCTCAGCTGATGGCGGAAATATTGAGTGTAATGAAGTTTTAAACTTTTGTCATTTCAGTGAATAACACATTGGACTTAAGTTAGTACTGAAGGACACGATGGTGTGAGAAAAGAGTAATTTATTTTCTTTACACCGACATTTCATTGCTCATGCAGTTACACCTGAAAATCTGCTTACCTGTTTGATCCCTGAAGAGGCGATCCAGGGCAGGTGCCAGAGTATAGCAGTGAAGTTCTTATCCAGTCAGCAGTCTCAGTAGACAAAGGTTCCAAGTAGGTATAGTTGGAAACAGCAAATCCATTTAATGTTTTGAAATCTGTGCCTGCTGTAGTACTGAGCCAAAACTAAGCATTTGAATGTTTTCCTGCACAAAGTGCATTATTTTGGACTGATGACACTTGCCAGAAGTGCTCAGCTCCCCGCGTTACCTTGTGAGTCAGAGAGGGCTGGAGATAACTGGCATTTTTACTGTCTGTAATGACTTCAAAATACCAAATTAACAGGTCGTTACACCTCCAACTGTAAACTCCAGATGATACTCCTGGTTCTTGCTTGCAGCTGTCACAAACTGAATCCAGTTCAGTGTCTCCTGTGTCCCAAGAGGACTTTTCCTCAGGATTGGCAGTTGCTAGATGTTCAGCCCTAGTATATGGCGTAAAGATGCACAGCTTCTTTGGACTTGGAATTCTTACCAGGAAAGCTTCTGAGCTTAGAGTGCATTTAGCCAGTAAGAGGCAAAACGCTAGTGGTCTCGTAATTAGGTGAGTGTAACTTGGCTGGGATTCCTTGCTCATATGGAGCTCAGAGCAGGAATTTGAACTTCCCTCCTAGAGAAGCTGCTTTGGTCTGAAGCTGTTGGCTGGTCTTGGGAATGTACATACCTCAAAATACTAAGAAACATTTCGCACCGATGTCTGAGAACTTTAAAAAGGTAATTGGGTGCTGACATCCATATCTGGGAGCTTGGTTAGCTCAAAGCCTAGATGGTGTTGAAAGCAGCTTATGTTAGTGCCGTGGTAGCTAAAGAGTGGAAGAACAGCGTAATTGTAGGATGTCCTAGCTTAATCCCACAACCGCTTGTAACCAGGAACATACGTATTCAGGGTCCTCTGCTGCCTTCATCACCGCAGTTTGATAAAGGGTGTCCGAGTCATGGGTGCAGTTAATACTTTTGTTACTGTGTCCTCAGTACCCCTCCTGTTACTTGTCCTGAGTATGAGGATGAGTTAGTGTCAGTCCATTGGCTGTTTGCTTGTTTTTTCTTTTCCTATTGAGCAAGGCTGTTCTCAGAAAGCTGATGTTTTTATTAATCTTAGTAGTTGAGTGGTTACAGAAATCATAATTGCAGATCAGCTGGTAACTAATAATTCTCTTTCCTCTGACAGACCTGGGAAGATCCAAACCACACAGACAGCACTACAGGATGTTGTGGAGATAATGATCCTATTGATGTTTGTGAAATTGGTTCAAAGGTTTGTCTTTGTCAGGATTAATTTAATTTATCAAGGTTAATTTAATAATTTGGTAACAACTTTAGGAACAGAAGGGCAGATGGGAAACAAGAAAAGATGGCAGTAGTCTCAGGGGATGACAGAAGTGTGGATAGAGGATCTGAGGAGGGAATAGGTAAGGAAACGGTGGATTTTTAAAAAGGGGAAAAAAAGGCAAGGTTTGGTACCTGCCGTTATTAGGTACAGGGGAAAGCTTTAACACACTGACAGAAAGCTCTGTGTATCTGGAGGCAGTGAAGAGTGGAGCAGTCCTCCATGCTATCAAAGATGGAACGGATGAGTTTGGAAGAGGAGTCTCTTGGGATACTCTAGGAAAGGGAATATTTAATGGGTGATCTCAGCGAAGGTGGCTTTATTTCAGAGAAGGAGCCCAAGGCTGAATTTCAGGGGATCTGGAGGTATAAAGGGGATATTAGCTGGCAGGGAGAAGGTTCCCAATAAAAACCAAACAAGAGTTGTGCTGGTATTTCTGGGGAACGGGGTGTTTTTCTAGGTGTACATGGGAGTCTAGAGGAAGGCACAGCAAGGGATGGGTTAAGACCGAGAGATGGGAAAGCAGAGAGTCAAGAAGCAGGAAGGAGTTAAGAAGTGATTATGGGATACTTTTGTCTCACAGTTTGGGGTGAAGGTCAAGGGGGGGTCATGGGGAAGTAGCGTAGAAGAGAGAAGAATTTTCTAGCTTGTGTTGTCTCCTTAAATAAATGCTGAGTGGAGAGTTGGAGGTTGAAGAATAGCAATGGTGGGAGAAAGGCCAGTGCTGTTAAACAGGTGTACTGGGTTTCCAGATCTAGATTGCCATTCTGCTAGCTGCTGCTCAAAAGCATAGTACAGCTGGTTTGCCTGTAAGGTAAGAGAGAAATTCTATGTAGTATTTTCCCCATCTTTGAGATTTTGTTCTGTTTCAGGTTCGTTCTTCTGGTGAGATTGTCCAGGTCAAGGTCTTGGGTGTTTTAGCCCTTGTTGATGAAGGAGAGACAGACTGGAAGATAATTGCTATCAGTGTGGATGACCCAGAAGCTCACAACATCCATGGCAAGTATTTTTGTCATCCTTAATGCAAGTTATGTCAGTGACTTGCGCAGTAGAATGGTACCCAAGTTTAGGCCACCCAGGACAAGAAGAGGCAGACAGCAGGAAGGCAGGACTTCTCTTTCATTGCGGTTTAAATCAGCTGCTTCCTTCTAAGAGAGTGTATCTGCTTTTTCATACTCAGCTTTTGAAAAGGTTCACTTGGATTCTCAACAGGACCTGCCATGGAGAGACTCTTTTGACTTCTGAAACACAACTGTCTTAAAGTGACCTCTCAAAGCTACAGGCTCATCTCCTGCGTAGCAGTGCGTATTTACCCCCTCAGACTATGCAGCACACTCTCTGTGTCGTAGGAAGTGGTTGTTCCTTTTCCCCTTGCAGGCCTTTTGTTGCCTTCTGAAAAGGGCTGCAGGTTTCTGATGCTTTGTCACTTGGGGCTGGGTTACCTCCAGGGTCTGTTGCTTAGTATGAATGATGAGGTTTCACCTTTTAGCTTGACGATTTGCAGATGTTGCTGCTAATGCAGCTCACCCCTGTGTCAGCCTTGAGGATGACCAGCTGTGTGGGGTAAGAGCCTGGCCAGACTTGGCCTCTGTGACCATGCTTCTGGGATCCAAATGGAAGGCAGGTACTCAAATGTGTCTCTGAATAGCACGTGAGGTGTAATTCTGCTTAGACTGTTCGTTAAGCACGTGATATGAGTGTGTTAAAACTGCAGGGAGTTAAGGTTTTGCAGGTTCTCTCTGGATAAATGAGGCTCACTTCAAGTGCAGTGTTACTGGGAATCACAAGGATTCCATGAGGAGTTTTGTCTGGAGGTTGGTGACTGTTTTGAGTCCCAAACCCATGTATACCATCGGGTATGTGCGGTCAGAGCCTGCCCTTTCTTAGTAGGGAGCACCAAGGCACAGGATGGCCTTCCTGTAGGAATTGGGTTATCCAGTAGCCTTTTTTAAGGCATGGTTTATTGGCCATTGATGCTTTTTCCTGGTTTCTGAATATAAGGAGAGTCCACCACTGGAGTGGCCCTTCATTCTAAGTTGTCTTGCAGGCTGCTTTCACATGGGAAAGAAGGGGATTAGAGAAAATAAGGAAAAAGGAAAGTCTTGGGTTGATTAAAATAACGAGCAACTGAATTACTACAGAGTGTTTGACTCTAACTACTTTGACAGTTAGAGATTAAGTAGTTCAGCTTGAGGAAGTAGTAAGTGTGGTAAGCAGTTTGTAACAGTAAGTGGTTTGCTGTTAATGTTGGTATCAATTTAAACCCCTATAATGTGCACTGAAATGTGATGTAAGTGTCAGTAGTTAAAAGACAAGTGTTTAGGACTTTATTTCTAGACACTGTTCTGTTTAACTCTCACCTTTTTTGCCTTAACAGTTTCTGAGAGAGTTTGATCAGAAAAGTGGGTGGGAGAATTGGAAAGAAGCCCACTAAGTAGGGGTAAAAGTGGGACCCTTTATGGTGTTGGGCTAAGGAGCTCTATTTGAAAGCCCTCTGGTTTGTCTGGGCAGGTAGTGGCTGATTTGTTAGCTGTGTTCCAGCTTTCCTTTGTCTGGGAGGGGAGTAGGAGTCTTGTCTAAGGGAAAAAAAAAAAGAGCAAACCACCGCCTGTGGCTGATTCCTGTGTGCATCCATCCTTTCTCACCAGAGTAGATGTAAAACTGAGAACTGTCCTTCTGAGGTTCAGAGAGGTGCAGAAATATTTATCCCATTTAATATGATTTCCCTTTGGGACTGGAGGTGCAGTCCAGGATTTACAAAAGGAAGGGAAAAAACCCAAGCCCCCATCTGCTTTGGAAGACGTGAGGAGCTTGCAGTGTTTAATAGCAGTCCTTCAGCCTGAAAACAAACAAATCTGCTGGAGTAGATGGCACAATATGTCCTTTCATACTTGTTTTTCCCTGTTCTTGAAGATGTTAATTATTTCAGCATAAAGGGATAGCAGCTACAGATAAAACTGGGATCTCCCTCAATAACTGACATGCTGCTGTGTTACAGCAGTGGCCTCCTAGG